GAGGTCAGCCCTGAGCTAACATCCATGCTAATCCTCCTCTTTTTGCTGAGGAAGACCATCTATTGCCAATTGTCCTCCTTTTTTTTTGTTCCCCAAAGCCCCAGTAGATAGTTGTATGTCATAGTTGCACATCCTTCTAGTTGCTGTATGTGGGACGCGGCCTCAGCATGGCCGGAGAAGTGGTACGTCGGTGCGCGCCTGGAATCCGAACCCAGGCCGCCCAGCAGTGCAGCACGCGCCCTTAACTGCTAAGCCACGGGGCTGGCCCTCGATTTCCAGTTTGGAAAGGTCCCTCTGCCATCCCACGTAGACCAGAGTGGCCAGGATGGAGGAGATGGAGACGTGGACTCACAAGGGGGGACCGCATACTATTGAGAGGTGATGCTGGCCTGGAGCAGGATGGCAGGGCTGATTGGAGAGAGCAAGATGTGGTAGGACCCACGGCCTTGGAGAATTCCACCCCAGGCCAATGTTGGGGGCCCACTGGCAATTTCCAGAGCCCAGACATGAAATGGTTCCCACTGAATCACGCCATGGAGTGAAGGGTGTTCTCGTGATGGCCCAACCTTTAAGGGGTGAGCCTTCTTAACTTGATGCGTATTTGAAAATCTTGACAGATCTGATCTTGAAAAATTGCATTGTTTGCTAGAAACTACCCAAAATGTAGTGATGAGTGGGAGGCTGAAGCTGCTAGGGTGTTGGGGGATGACATGAGGGGCACTGGGACATGTGTGTGTCATTGTCCCCGCCACAGTTGGTGCCCACTTTGTGCCTTCCCTGAGAGCCAGATGCCAAGCCGAGGGCTTTCAGCACTGTCTGGTTTCATCCCCACCGTGGCCTGTGAGGCAGGCCCCCTCTGTTCCCATTTCACAGACGGGGCCGTGGAAGCTTAAGGGAGGAGTTGAGATTCACCCCATCAGTCTAACACCACAGCTTGACCTTGGCCCTGAGCCACGCACAATGGAGACAGATGTGTCCTTTGCAGACCTCCTGTCTCCCCCATCAGAAGGCCTGTGCGACAGGAAATGAGCCAAGTTGGAGCTGGAGCTCAGAGGGCTTCTCTGCTCACACCGTGGAGCCTCCGGGGAGAGGGCAGTTATCCTGTGTCCTGTGCGTCCCACTTACACTTGCTCTGAGTACCGTAATGCCGAGTGTTCAGAATCCCTCAGTTTAGGAATTTTGAGCTGCTTGTTAAACATGGTATCCGTGTGTGTATCCGCATGGCTGGGCTCTGGATGTGGCCTCCCAGCCGCTTACGGAACTTGCTAGGACATGATATAAGATGTTGGAAGACGGTTGAGCATGCGCGGCGGGCAGAGTTGCCGTTTCCATTCCAGGGCCCTTTGGGACCCTCTGTGCTGATCCAGGTTCAGGGGTGCCCAGGTGGGCTTCCCAGGGCCCAGCAGGGGTGAGGCCCGCAGGCTCGCTCTTCACTTCCTGATTCCATGCTGTTCCTCTCCCCGCACACCTCTGCCTCCTGGCTGAGTCGTGTCCTCTGTGTTAGTTTCTCTGGCTTGGGCCCCTCTCCTGCAGATTGGGGCAGGGTGTCACCTGCCTGCCAGGAGTGGAGGAGGGGCTCTGACCACAGCAGTCAGCCCCCTTGTCCGCCCCCCTTTGCAGGACGGGCCTGGGCCTCCTGATTGAGAGCCTCTCTGACTTCTGAGGAGCGTGACTGCCTGCCTTCCCACCCTCGTCTCTCTACAGCCACCAGGAACCAGCTCCCTCTCGTCTCACTGGTTCTTCTCTATCCAGTGCCTCCTCCCACTTCATCTCTTCCTGTGCCTTCACTGCCCCGTCACTGGCCTTTCTGGAAGGCATGATGACAAGTGCGTGGTCGGTGGGCCACCTGTAACATAAAGCTACAAATGGATCATGAAATACATTTAACAAGTGAAAAACTGCCCAGGTCCACTATCTTGTTGCCCCATCAGAGTCTTGTGATCAGGAATGGAATGGTCCTTAGTTCAGGGAGCCTGAAGGAGGAGTTGAGTTCTAATTTAACTGAACTCAGAGCCAGGGTATTCCTGGACCTATTGCTTTTCCATCAGTTTCTTTGCTTTCTTGACAGCCCATTAAATCTCACGCCTCTTCTAACTACTGTGGACAGACTGTTTGGTCATCTTTGGGGAGTGTTTGATAAAAACAGAAATCAACGAAAGTACAATAAAGCAATGCACGTAGTTTAAACAGTCAGAATACTCAGAGGTGGATAATGAAAACCAGTGACTCTCTCCTGTCACCTGCCCTGTGTCCAGAGTGTTTATTAGTGCCTGCTGCCTGGGGAGCCACCTGGAGATGCAAGTATTCCCAGCTTGCCCAGGGTGCTGGACCCACCACTCCAGACTGGCGCTCGTCTGTCCCCTTCAGAGCTGCTCTGCCTGGTCGAGAGGGGAGTGGGCGTGGCATCTGAGCTGGTCCCCTGTCCCTGAGCCTCACCCTCCTCCAGGAGATGGGCCCTGGCCCTGCTCCCCTGCCTCCTGGGTGGAGGGAGGCCCCACGGGACAGGACCCACGGCAGGGGCCTTGGAGTCACACAGCCTGGGTGGACCTTGGGCTGCGTGTGCTCAGGCCCTTCATCTGTAAAGTGGGGCTGTTGAAACGAAGGGACTTCGTACTCGTGAGGCACTTAGGACAGGGCTCGGCACCCGTAACACACGTTATGGTTCCTCATCCATCCAGCAAATGCTTGAGCACCCATCGTGCCAGGGGCTGTGCTGGGCACCCGGGGCCCTGAACAGACAGAAGTCTTCGTCCTTGGGGAGCCCACATTCCAGTGGGGAAGAGAGCCCAGCGGGAAGGTGAGAAGAAAGTACATGTGATGTTGGAGGGTCACAAACGCAGGGGAAGGCAGAGCAGGGCCGGGGGTGCCTGAGTGTGGGGGGCAGTGGGGTAGATTTCATGAAGAGGGTGAGAGTTGAGCAAAGAGTGCAAGGGGTTGAGTTAGCAAAGCAGAACCTGGGGGAAGAACAGGCAGAGGGAGCCATATCAGCCAGCACAGTGTCCACGAGCCGCAGGGTGACTTAACGTTTATTTTTTTATTTATTTATTTTTTTTTTAAAGATTTTATTTATTCATTTTTTTTCCCCCCAAAGCCCCAGTAGATAGTTGTATGTCATAGGTTCACATCCTTCTAGTTGCTGTACGTGGGACTCGGCCCCGGGCTGGACGGAGAAGTGGTGCCTTGGGGCGAGCCCGGGATCCGAACCCCGGCCGCCAGCATCAGAGCGCGCGCACTTAACCGCTAAGCCACGGAGCCGGCCCAACGTTTATTTTTTTTATTATTTTTATTTTTTGTGTGTGAGGAAGATCAGTCCTGTGCTATCATCTGCCAATCCTCCTCTTTTTTTGCTGAGGAAGACTGGCCCTGGGCTAACATCCGTGCCCATCTTCCTCCACTTTATATGGGACACCGCCACAGCATGGCTTGCCAAGCGGTGTGTCGGTGCTCACCCGGGGTCCAAACCAGCAAATCCCGGGCCGCTGCAGCGGAGCGCGCACACTTAACCGCTTGCTCCACCGGGCCGGCTGTGACTTACATTTAAAGGAATTATCGTGGAATAAAATCAAGTGTTCAGTTCCTCAGCAGCATTAGCCGTGTTTCAGGTGCTCAGAAGCCGCATGTGCCGTGTTGGACAGGGCACGTGTGGGACATTCTTGTCTGCACGGAAGGTTCTGTTGGACAGAGCTGAGTTAGCGCCAGGGCTGTGAGGTGGGATGTGCGGATCTTTCAGGAGCAGCTGGCGGGCCCATGTCACTGGAATGGTGCTTTCAAGGGGAAAGGGAGGGCAGGTCACACTGCTGTGTTGAAAATAGACTGAGCGCCAGGAAAGGAGCAGGGCCACTGTCAGGAGCCTGTGTCAGACCTTCAGTGAGAGACGAGGCCAAAGCAGGGTCGGGGGTGACCACAAATGGCCAGATTCTGACTTTACAGAGGACTTGCTGATTGGCGGGATGCACGAGGTCAGGGGGAGTCAAGATGGGTCCAGGTGTTGCCGGGACTTCTGGCCAAGTGGTTGAACCGATGCGGCTGCCATTGGCAGAGAGGCGGAAGGATGCGTGAAGCAGCTGCACTCCTGCACATG